GCGCTCGGCCAGCCATGGATAGCCTATAACCAATCACATTAGCATTCACAGCCCAAACATCCACTCTTCTTCTGCAACACTAAAACGGCTCTCAGGCCAGTACAAGGTGACAGCTATTCAGTATGTAAATTGTTGACACCAGCAGCACTCACAAAGACACTTAAAATCAATGAATGGATTGGCCGGTACCAGGTAGAGAGATCAATATTGTGCTGCAGTCTCTTCTCTGAGCTCTTTGTAAAAGGCTTTCAGGAAGTGCAGCTAATTAACCTGAAGAATCCACTCACGCACGCAAGTAATTTTAACCTCATCACCGCTCCCATCCAATTGTGTGGAGGAAGGCGACTGCACGGTGCTTGTTTCAGAATTGTCCCACTCTGCAATTCGATCCTTTAGTCTGAACGGCTGTTAGCAGAGTCTATTGTTTCCTGTGCGGGGAGACGCGCGTTTACATGGTCCGACTGTAATAGTGCTGTAAGGACTGTGTGTTTAAAGGCTCTTACATTACGCAAAATTGACGCTTGTGAGCTTCGAAACGTGTTATAATGTTGTTACCTTCTCGAAAACAAACCTGGAGCTGTGTTTTTTTTCATTCGCACGTGTCTGTCTGAGTAATCTTGCATTATTATTATTTATCGTAGTTTCTGCTTTGATAAAAAATACACTTAAAACGGAAATAAAGTTCAGATAATTGACTTATTCCAATATTAGAAAGCCGTACACGTACAAGGAGTCTGTGCCGACATTCCCAAGCAGAGACTCGGTGTTTTACGTCTGTGCAATGACAAACTATAGTGGGAGTTCGACCGTGGTTTAGACTTGGCGTCTCTTTGTTGGTGCACAGTCCAGTCAGACTCTGTCCAGGGTGTTATTCAGCTAACAACTCATGACATCATCCCTATCCATAGTTCTTGTCCCATTTAGTTAGTTTGCTATTAGATAAATTGGAATACCATGCTTTTGTCTTGACATATATTTATAAGTCTCACAGCTGTGATCATAGCTCTTATTGTCAAATACAATAATGAACTATAGAAGTGATTATACAAAATAACTAAGCTTAGATATTTATCTTAACGCTGCATCTCCAAAGCTCAAGATCAGGCGTGTCAAACTCAAATTCACAGAGGGACAAAATTTAAAACTGGGATTAAGTCGTGGACCACACCGGCCCATCAAAGCCTGAGCCTGTCAGATCTCAGAAGCTAAGCAAGACCAGGCCTGGTTAGGACTTGGATGGGACTGGGAAAATCAGGAGCCACAGTTGTTGTGAAGGCAAGACACTTCACCCACATTGCCTTGTATGAAAGTGATGTGTGCGTGAGTGATGGTGGTGGTCGGAGGGACCAATGGCGCCGATTGGCATGGCAGCCGTGCTTTTGTCAGTCTGCCCCAGGGCAGCTGTAGCTACAATAGTAGCTTATCCCCACCGGGTGTGGAGAGAAAGAATAATGAATCTATAATGTTTGTAAAAGCATCTTTGTGACATACGTCTGTGAAAAGTGCTATAGACATAAAGATTTACTTACTAACTTACAAACTAAATATTTATTGAAAAATTTCAACAACATCTGCATGTTTTCTCTTCTTTAGAGATATGTAATGTTAAACCTTTTATTATTAAAATAAATGTTTAATAATAGTTTTGCTTAAAGATTGAATCCAGAACAAGCAAAATATAAAATAATAACAAAACCGATCTGTAGCCGGTGGGCAGCTCTAATACATATTTTGATATGATCTCGTGGGCCAAATATAATGGTATTGCAGACCAAATTTGGCCCCCAGGCCTGAGTTTGACAAGTCTGCTCAAGATGCTCTGTTCCACCTTGTGAGATCAATGGAGAGTTAATTTCCAGGGCTGAAATTATCCAAATGATTCTAGTGAAGGTGTATGGAGTTCAAAAAACACATTGGAGCACTTCCTGTATCACCACATGACATCACAAGGTGCAACGTAGCCTACAGGGTTTGTGTGTTAAACATGTGAATGAAACAAAACACAAATCCAGGTCTGTTTGTGAAGAGGAAACAACATTATAACAGATCAGAAAATTAAATAAAATAGGTCCTTTAACTTGTTCACCCAAAGTCCCTCGATCATGTTTTTATTTTAAAGAACATTTTGTGTCGTAATCTGAAGCTCGTCCTGTTCAGTTTGCAGGACCTACTGACTCCTCTGCCCCAGGATGTGCACATTTGCATGATCATTATGTTCGGACAGCGCTGACCTTTGACCCCACTGCTGACAATTACAGTGAAGGCAACAATGTGGTGCTCTAGAGTTTGGGGGTTGACAGCTGTTGTTTTGTGTCTGTTGTATAAAAGTCTATAGTTTTATTGTTGTATCAATGTTTTTTCCTTAAAGGTTTTATACTACACAAAATTTACTCTTGTGAGCTTTTAGTCATGTCATTTTTTTTTTTTTTTTTTTTTTTAGTTTATTCTGTCGTTTTACAACACTACAAAACAAAACATAGACTACAACCCCAAAGATCATGTTGAAAGGGTTTAGGCTGAAATAAAAAGTACTTATAATGCCAAACCCTATAAAAAAAATGACAGAATTCCAAGAAAAAAATCAGCGTATGAACAGCAAATTTACATTTACAATTTTACTTTCGACTTACTGTATACATAAGAGACAAAATATAAATTAAAACAAACAAAATTTAACACATAATTCATTCATTCCAGAGCTCAATACCTTTCAGAACATAACACTTTATACAATTTTTTAAAGGCTTCTTCAGTATTAAACTTAAAAAAAAAAAAAATAAATCATTACTCTGATTATTCCATATACTAACCCTTTAACAGAAATACAGTCACTTTTTTCTTAGTTAATATCTTTATTATTTTTATTTTTTTTAAGGTACCTGTTCCTCTAAGGTTAAATTGACTCTGTCTCTGCTCAAATAATTTCTGTAAACAAAGAGAAAGCAGATGATTATAAGTTTTGTACATCACTATTGCTGTAATCAGGTCAACAAAATCTAAAAATTTAAGTACTTTTAGCTTAATAAAAAGAGGATTTGTTGGTGCATAGTAATTCACATGATTAATAATCCTAATAACCTTCTTTTGGAGTAGAAAAAAATGATTAATATTTGATTTATAAATATCCCCCCAATACCTCCGTAAGTTCTATAGAAAGTGTCAATTCCAGGCACAAGTTACTTTAAAACTGTAATGTGTTATTTATTTATGACTTATTACTGACATTTCAAAGTAATTTGTTACATTATAATATTACTGTATTTAAAATGTAAAACATTACACGACTATTGCAGCACTTTTAAGTTACTCTCATCAAAATAACTGCGAAGATGCTGAACTGTATATGGCCTTATATAGACTAAACCAGGACTAAACCAGGACTAAACCAGGACTAAACCAGGACTGAACCAGGACTGAAAACCAGGACTGAACCAGGACTAAACCAGAACTGAACAAGGACTAAACAGGAACTAAACCAGGACTGAACCAGGACTAAACCAGGACTGAACCAGGACTAAACCAGGACTAAACTGGACTGAGGACTAAAACAGGACTGAAACCAGGACTAAACAGGACTAACCAGGACTAAACCAGAACTGAACCAGGACTAAACCAGGACTAAACAGGACTGAAACCAGGACTAAACCAGGACTGAACCAGGACTGAACCAGGACTGAACCAGGACTAAACCAGGACTGAACCAGGACTGAACCAGGACTAAACCAGGACTGAACCTGGACTAAACCAGGACTGAACCTAGACAAAACCAGGACTAAACCAGGACTGAACCTGGACAAAACCAGGACTAAACCAGGACTGAACCAGAACTGAACAAGGACTAAACCAGGACTGACTAAACCAGGACTAAACAGGACTGAACTGAACAGGACTAAACCAGGACTAAACCAGGAACCAGGAACCAGGACTAAAAACAGGACTGAACAGGACAACAGGACTGAACCACCCAGGACTGAACTGGACAAAACCAGGACTAAACCAGGACTGAACCAGAACTGAACAAGGACTAAACCAGGACTGAACCAGGACTAAACCAGGACTGAACCAGGACTAACTGACTGAACTAAACCAGGACTAAACCAGGACTGAACCAGGACTAAACCAGGACTAAACCATGTCTAAACCAGGACTAAACCATGTCTAAACCAGGACTAAACCAGAACTAAACCAGGACTAAACAGGACCAAACCGGGACTAATCTTGGACTAGAACTTGGAATCTAGTATTTTTATTATTATCTAGTATTATAATGCGTTTCTCCCAACACTGATTCCAGGGCTGCATTATCCAGATGATTCTAGTGAAGGTGAATGGACTTTAAAAACACAGTGGAGCACTTCCTGTATCACCACATGACATCACAAGGTGGAAGAGAATGTTTTCTGTTTGAAATCTTGAATACAGAACCCAGGATTTTTGTGTTAAACACGTGTGAATGAAACAAAACACAACTCCAGGTCTGTTTGTGACGAGAAAACGACATTATAACATAAATCAGAAAGTAAAATAAAATTAAATAAGTAATAATTTGTACACGAGATTATGAAATTCTAAAAGTCAAAGCTGTTTATGCCGTCCGTGTCCCAGCATGTGTTTCAATCCAGGTTCTGTTATAAATGTTTACTCGGTCAGTTTTGTATATTTCGCTTCAAACATGTGATCTTCATGTTTGGAGATTTATTTATTTATTTATTTGTTTATTTCCAGCTGAAAGCTTTTTACCGGGCCGCTGCAAAAATCACCTGCTGCTTGTTAAGTTGTTCGGGAGTGGGATCAAAACAGGAAAGCGTCCAGTTTGGATTCGCTCTCCTAAAATAAACAAAGTGCTTCGTATTTTCTCTCCCGTCCATCTGCATCGGAACGTTTTCAGCTCTTCGAACAGATCTGTCCATCTTTTTTTCTTCATGTTCCCTCTCTTTACCCCCTTTTTTTTGAGGTGTATTTGCTCATGTTAATCCCTCGTTTTTTTTCTTCTTCTCCAGGCGGTTCGAGGCGTCGCCCGTTTGCGCTGACCTACAGCAGCAGATCCTCGCGTGCTACAGGGAAAACTCCGGGAAAACCTTGAATTGCTCCAACATCGCCGCCCTCTACCTGCAGTGTGTCAACAAAGCGAAGCTGGTGCGTATCTGTCGTGCTTTTAAAATGTATTCCCCTACAGATTACAGATTACAGATTACAGATTACAGATTACATGCCCCGAAATGTAGTTTGTAACGTAATCCATTAAATTACTTAAAGTGAGTAATGTAATCTGAATACTTTGGATTACAAAGACGAGGAAATCTTCACTTAAGAAGTTTTGTCTGATAAAAGAAAATAAAAAGCCCAGACTTTACTGAACCAAATTAAAAATATTATTGATTGGAGACACGGTACATGCAGCTTTAGTCCTGTTAAATCCTGTTTTAGTCTTGTTTTAGACCTGGTTTAGACCTCATTTTAGTCCTACTTTAGTCCTGGTTTAGTCCTGATTTAGTCCTGGTTTAGTCTTGGTTTAGTCCTGGTTTAGATCTGGTTCAGGCCTGGTTTAGATCTGGTTTAGACCTGGTTTAGACCTGGTTTAGACCTGGTTTAGTCCTGGTTTAGTCCTGGTTTAGCCCTGATTTAGACCTGGTTTTAGACCTGGTTTGGACCTGGTTTTAGTCCTAGTTTAGTCCTGGTTACAGACCTGGTTTTAGTCCAGGTTTAGACCTGGTTTAGACCTGGTTTAGACCTGGTTTTAATCCTGGTTTAGACCTGGTTTAGTCCTGGTTTAGTCCTGGTTTAGCCCTGATTTAGACCTAGTTTTAGACCTGGTTTGGACCTGGTTTTAGTCCTAGTTTAGTCCTGGTTACAGACCTGGTTTTAGTCCAGGTTTAGACCTGGTTTAGTCCTGGTTTAGACCTGGTTTAGTCCTGGTTTTAGTCCTGGTTTAGATCTGGTTTAGTCCTGGTTTAGCCCTGATTTAGACCTGGTTTTAGACCTGGTTTGGACCTGGTTTTAGTCCTGGTTTAGACCTGGTTACAGACCTGGTTTAGTCCAGGTTTAGTCCTGGTTTAGTAGCCTGGTTTAGACCTGGTTTAGTCCTGGTTTTAGTCCTGGTTTAGACTGGTTTGGACCTGGTTTTAGTCCTAGTTTAGTCCTGGTTTAGACCTGGTTTAGACCTGGTTTTAGACCTGGTTTTAGACCTGGTTTTAGACCTGGTTTAGACCTGGTTTTAGACCTGGTTTTAGTCCAGGTTTAGACCTGGTTTAGACCTGGTTTGACCTGGTTTAGACCTGGTTTAGTCCTGGTTTTAGTCTGGTTTAGTCCTGGTTTAGCCCTGATTTAGACCTGGTTTAGACCTGGTTTACCTGGTTTAGACCTGGTTTATCCAGGTTTAGACCTGGTTTAGATCTGGTTTATATATATATATATATATAATATATATATATATTGCCCAAAATGTGAAAACAGGAAAATACCGCCGTGTAATCCATTTACTTCAACAAAGTAACTGTAATTTAATTACCATTCATTAAAACAGTAACTGTAACTGAATACAGTTAATATCAGTTATTATTTATACTCTTATTATGTAACTCCGGTACATGTGATCTGTTACTCCCAACACTGGTCGTACCCAGAGGCGAAATTAGCCATTTTGTTTTTAGATCATTTGCACATAATTTATTCCTACAGTGATTTTCTTCTTCTGCTGTATTTGCCCTGATTTGATTTGCATATAGATGTTTTCGCATCTATGTGAGCTTAATGGATTCTTCGCATGTGAGCGTAAACTGTGTAAATTAGAAAGAAGAAAGCACTTAATCACTCTGGAACTTTGTTGTCACTTTTCACACACTCCTCACACTGCTGTTAATATAAGACTATTACACTTCAATCTCACCAACATTATTTTCCTAAAGTTGGTAAATGGGCTTTTCTTAAATTACACCAAAAACTGTAGGCGTTTGGCCTTTGTGCAATCTTGTACTCGATCCAATTTCAATTAATTTTAGTTTTGTATAGCCCGATATCGTAACAGGATTCGCCTCTCAGGGCAGGCAAAGGAATAACAAATAAACTACACAAGAAAATGGTTAAAAGAGTCTTGTTTTCAACTGCTGTAATTGTATTCCACATATTTATCAGACTAGTGCAAAGATTCTGAAGTAACATTTGGCCATCGATATTTATTTTAAAGATTCTCAGTGTAACGTTTCTGGTGGAGGGTCTGCTGCCTGGAGATGTTATCGCTTTGCCTAGAATGTTTCAGATAATGGCATTGTACTTATCTGTCTCGAAGGAAGATAAGCAGGCGATGTCACTAGACCAAGTTACAGGTCAGATCTGTGGAGAGGCAATCTTCCTCACTGCAAGATTGCATGTTTTAAGCGTTTTTCAGCATTAAAAACGTCTATAAATGACTAAATGCAAGGCGGCAGACCCTCACTAGAAAAGTTACGTAGACCACCTTTAATTCTCTTAAGAAATAAGGATGGGCATGATTAGACGACTAAACGATAATTGATCATCAAGAAGTTCATTTTGAATCGATAAACTGAAAGTAGGTTGCGTAGTGTAGCATAAGGAGATGAGGCTGCGACTGATACATAGATTTATATACATGCCTGGACATAACTAACGCACTAACAGCTGCATGCCAAATAGGAAGTGCAGCAGGAGGCTCTTCCGGCTCCTTCTGACCCTGGCTCCAACTGACTTACATTAGGATCTTGTCGTCTCTCTCTCTCTCTCTCTGTACCTGCCGCACTGAGCCTCGTCGTTTTGGTCTTAAAACGTTCATATTAACCCACTAAAACCGTGAGCATCACAAGCCTTATTTGAGCAGCGCTGTGGGTGACGTCGCAGTGATTAAGGCTGCGTTCAGACTGCAGCCTGAAGTGACCCAAATCTGATTTTTTTTGGCCTCTATGTGACCTGTATCTGATCTTTTAATGACAGTCTGAACGACACAGATCCGATTTTTTTCAAATGCGACCCAGGACACTTGGATATGTGCTCCTGAAACCGATACATATCTGATCTTTTGACATGCGACTTCAGTGTGAACGGCCAAAGTGCATTCATCCACCTACACGTTATCAACAAGCCACAAACGTCACTATTCTGCGCTGAAGTAGGTGAAAATTTTTAATGAACTCTGTGTCACTGAAGAGAAGCACATCACCACTCACCACTCTTGGCTACGTCTCCACATCCACACGTTCCTTTCAACGGACGTCGCTGCCGCTGCCCCACAAAACACCACGGCCAAAAACTTTGTCCTTCTCCTTCTCAATCTCCTCCTTAAAACAAGTAAGTTGTTCATGTTCTGGCTCCGGTACAAGAGGAACTTTAAAATCTCCAGGTGCTCAATGCTCGCGTCCATGTTTGGACAACTTCCGTAAACACAGAGACGCTCGCTGCGGTTGACGTCATCGTGTCTCCAATGCTCATGCGGGACACTTTTGGGCCGTTTAATGTTCACACTGGAGTCAGATACAAGTCACATTTAACTGGAAATGTGAACGACCTCACAAAAACATCGTATTTCACAAAAAAATCGGAATTGAGTGTTGAATTGAGTCTGAACGTAGCCTTAGTCCACTTCTTGTATATAGTCTATTGTCTGACAGCACAAACACTGGAGTTGTGGCCTCACAGTTCCATGTTTGGGCTCTGGCTCCTCAGTGAGTGTGTTTACAGCACATCAGTGTCCCGGGTATGATCGGGTTTTTTGAGTATCCCAGTTTCGTGATGGTGCATGTAAACGCACTATCACTGTTACTGCAACATAAAGTTGAGTCACATGCGTCCATAAAACAAACACTTTTCAGTCTTTTCATCAGAACAGTAGCCAGAATAAATAAAGTGACCATAAATAAAGTGAATTAAATGATGTTAAATAAAGAGCTGCACTAAACCTGCACATGTCTGATCTCTGAAAACATGAACCATCTCCAACACGACACACACACACACAGACTCACCATCATCATCATCAACATCAACATCGCTCTGTCACACAGAGAACACTCATATTCCACTGAGTCGTGTCCTTTAGTCTGACAGAGGCTGAACCACATCAGCGCACAAGGAAATAGCTGCGTTTTTTTCAGTGCTTATAGTTTATGCAAATGAATCATGTGGTTTTAAGTTTCTGTAGAACGTAAACAAATGTGTCAAAGCTGCATTAAACACATTATAATGTCAATCGGGCTGATGTGGCTCTATAGTGATTATGGTTTATATGTTGTAAAGTTGAGTTTATTTGTGCAGATTAGTAATAGTAATAATAATGATGATAATTTTAATATAAAAAAACGACGATTGATTAAGAAAATTTAATCAAATGCCCATCCCTTTAAAGAACAATGTCAAATTTACTTATATGCTCCTATTCTTTACCCACTTAAAGGACAAAAAGTTTAAGCAAGTACAGTGAACACTTTAAGAACATCCTTCCCTTCTGCAGAAATATGTTTTAGTATCTCTGTGAATATTAGATCAGCTGTGTCCAGTGGAACAGCCATTCTCTTTGTAAATGTCCACATGAATTACAGTTATACTCTCCCATTACAGTCACACACACTCTTATGTTCATTTACATGCACCAGGACCTCGCTGCGAGACGGGACAATACAATTTCACTTGTCCAATGGCGCCTGAAAATTGCTGCCTTTAAGTGTCCGGTTTTAAAAATATGCTCCATTTCCATAATATTTTCCGATGCGTAGCTTTTCTGTCTCTCCGTCTCTATTTTAATGCAATAAGGACCAGGAAGTATCCACGTCCAGTTGAAAACCATCGGCCTTTAGCAGTGTTTGGGAGGTGACTTTTAACATGTATTCCCCTACAGATTACAGATTACATACACCAAAATGTAGTTTGTAACAGAATCCATTAAATTACTTAAAGTGAGTAACGTAATCTGAATATTTTGGATTACTTGATTTGCTGTAGAGAAGCAAAGACGAGGAAATCTTCACATGAGAAGTTTTGTCTGATAAAAGAAAATAAAAAGTCCAGACTTTACTGAACCAAATTAAAAATATTATTGATAGAAAAGGAGGAAACATGGTCCACGCAGCATGATTTAGTCCTGTTAAATCCTGGTTTTAGACCTGGTTTTTAGACCTGGTTTTAGACCTGGT